TTTCTCCCAAATCCTCAGGTCGTCTTCTCGCCCTGACCCCGGAAGTCTCTGCCCTGCCACGGGGGTCTTGCCACCACTTGGGACACAGTGACCGTTTGATAACATTGATAACGAACTATTCCTTAGGAAAAAAGAGGCTGCTCTGGCCAGATGCTAGCAATATTCCCCACCCACGGACGTCCCGAGGAGCACTCACCTTGTCGCTGTCCAGCGTGTTCTGAGACGTCCGGGAGGCGATAGAGATGGTGTCGGGCTGACTGCTGCCATCACCCTGGCTGTCCAGGTCCTCTCCGTCCCTGGGGGTACAAAGGCACCTTCAATTCCTGGTACTGAGCTGGTAAAGATCACTCCTCACTCAGCGGAGAAACAACACATTTGCTCAAAGAGGTGCACGCCAGTCTGAGCGACTGACCGCTCCCGCCATGACAGGCGTGGACTTTGAAACATCCGTGGACAAATACGGGTGGGAATTATTTTGGTATGAGATGCACAGTCTGTCTTGGAAGACACACTTCCCAAGTGCTGTCCGAAGACCTCACCTATGAATAACCAGGAGGCACTCTTGACGAAGCAGAGCTTCCTGTGAGGCACCATGCCAAGGGCCTAACACATCACCCCCACATTCCCACCCACTCAAAATATGACTGGCATGCTTATCGCCACTTCAGAAAGGAGAGAATGAAGATGCCCAGATGTGTTAGCACTTGTCCAGGTCACACGTGTGGTCCGCACACGCGCACAGGGGGCAGGACAGGGAAACTCGGGGCTCCGTCTCCTTCCCCCCCACGGAGGTTCCTGCCTTGTCAAAGCAATTTCGTCACCAAGAATGATGAGGTATACAAACAGGATTTTAAAGACACGCTCCCCACAATGTTTGAGAAATAATGATTTTGAAAACACTGTGGGACGCCGCCTTGCTCTCTCCTCGCCGGGTCGGCACGCCTGCAGACGCGGTGCACTCACCTCCTGCCCTTCTGCCTGGTGGCCGGGGCTGTCTTGGGGATGTGGATGGGCTCCTTCAGGGCCCCCTTCAGGTGGATCGTCCTCTCCTGGATCACCTCGCGGATGTGCTTTATCCAGTCCTGCTTGTTCTCTATGCTGGAAGCCTGTACAGGGGCGTGGGGGCACTTAGGGCAGGAGCAGCACCCCCGGGGGCTGCATCAGCCACGCCCAGGGCTCCTGCCTTCGGGGCTGTCTTGGGGATGTGGATGGGCTCCTTCAGGGCCCCCTTCAGGTGGATCGTCCTCTCCTGGATCACCTCGCGGATGTGCTTTATCCAGTCCTGCTTGTTCTCTATGCTGGAAGCCTGTACAGGGGCGTGGGGGCACTTAGGGCAGGAGCAGCACCCCCGGGGGCTGCATCAGCCACGCCCAGGGCTCCTGCCTTCCCGAGTTTCCCCCCCCGGGATCTGCATCAGCCACGCCCAGGGCTCCTGCCTTCCCGAGTTTCCGTTTTCACAATCACTTTCCAGCAGAGAAGCTACTACCTTCTATGTTTAATTTGCCACCCAGTAAATTACTCTAATTTTACATATTTTGTTCATCAAAACCATTTTCATTTTATAGCATATGTGTTATTCTGTATTTCTGACTGAAATCTTTCAAACAGCCCTGGGTGAACATGAGATATAGCCACCCCACAAAAAAACATGCCTGAGGCTATCTGGGCAAAGCCTGCACGGGCCAGGGGCTGGGGGAGCCTCCTGGACACTGAACTAACCCCACAACCACACCGCCTCGCCCACTCAGAACAGCAGGGGTTACGGCCACCTACCCAAAGCCAGGCCGAGTGCTTCTCACACTCACTCCCAGATTCCACGGAGTGGGGGGCTCTGTTATCTCCACTTTACAAAGGAGAGGGTGAGCTGTGGGCACGCTAAGAAATGCACCGAGGTCACAGGGTCACCACCCGCCAATGGCCGAAGGCGGACTTCCCTCAACGCCAGGGCAGATCTGGGTACGTGTTCATGAGAGCGACAGAGGGGATGCACTCCGCATCTGCCTCGTGAGCACACACGGCGTCACTTTTTCCAGATTATCTTTTCACTCTGTCCCAAAGGAGGTGTTACTTTTTCCCTTTTCATTTAGCATGTTCTGGGCCTTAGTAACAGTTTTCTAATTTCCTCATGGAACACGTCAACCTCCAATGATATAAGCGTAATTCTCTGTAAAATGAGTAAAGTACTTGTCAGTGGGCTTGCAGATGAGATCACAGAGGGAGGGACCCCAACATTGCTCACTGTGTACTTTGTTTTAGAAAATAGGAAATCAAAGTCCACGCTGAGAAAGGAAATTAAAATTAAATTAAAACCCTCTTTCTCTTTGAAATGTTTTAACTGGAAGGTAAGTCTTCCAAGATTTTTAGGGATAGTAACAGGGAAATAAGGGGAGCGGCCTCTTCCTCCCTCTCCCCAGACCGGATGCCAGTGTGGCAGTAAAACCAGTCTCTTCTGAGGCAAGAGGCAGACAGGGTGACCAGGGAGCAGGGGTCTGGGGGTGAAATAAGTGTCTGAAAACTGCAGACCTATTGGGATTTAAGAGCCTGAAACAAATATTTTGGAAGTTAAGCAAAAAATAACTAAGGAAAAAACATTAGGCAGAATTTGGAAACGAGTGAGGAAATCCTTAAATGCCGTTCAGAAATAAAGCAAATTCTCATGCAGACCGATCACTACCTTGACGGAGAGGACTTCTCCTAACCTTAAAGGATCACTAAACAAGGAAAATAGGTTCCAATTTTTCAGAAAGTGAGAAGAAGGAATAATTTGGTTCTTACTCTTGGTAGTCTCAATCTAAGTAAGGGTTTAAGAATAACATTCTCTTTTGCAGATTGTAAAAGGAAGACAGACCAAAATTTTGTTTGATGAGTACTGGACCGCCACCACCATGGCTGTGGCCATTATTAATATTACCTCCTCCACCATCATCACCATCACGACTACAGTCCCACCCATACCATCTTCATCCTCACCATGTTCACACCCTCACCACCAGCCACACAATCCTGCACCGCCACCATCTACAGCATGGCCACCACCTACATCAGCACCCCACCCTTTATGTACGCACTACGTCTCTATGCCCTCACCACACTATCTACACCACTGACATCCACAAAATGCACCCACCACCCCCATCCACATCATACACCGTCTATACCTTCACCTCCACTTCACCACTCTCACTGCCAGAACCACAGAACAATCTCTGACATTAGCGAAAACATCCTTCCCTTCAGTCCTTCCTGGGAAATCAGGAAAATATCCACACTTCCTTAGAAGACTTTCATCTGGTGAAGTCTCCAGACAGTCTTACTATTCAACTGTATAATGAGAATTTTGCTACGTCCTAAATAAAAATTATCTGGCTAAAGTATCTGGAACTACATAGAAGCACCTTTTGGCATCTGCCACTGAAGCTAATCTGAGCTAACAGTTTATATAAAAGCTGGAAGTTTTAAGCTCTCAAATATACTTTAAAAATCTTAAGACTAAAAAAAAAGCCAGTTATCTGCAACTTGGCTATTGGTGCAATTTATAATTTATAGGCCTTTATGGCTGCACTAACAAGAATGAATTGGATTAGTATCATATATTCGATGCAAAACAGCCTATCATTTACATGAGGATTAAGACTTTAAAGACACAACAGTTTCCAAAAAGAGTGAGGTACAGATGGATGACTTAGAGTTGGTGGAAATACCACGAAGAGATAAAAAGGTATGCAGAGACAAAATAGCTGACAGGCAAGTTCACACACCAGAGTCCCATTACGCTCTCGGCTCAGCTCCCAATGTTCTACAAATCTTCAGCTACATCTGCCCCCAAACATCCCAAGGTCACTTATGGTCTTTCCAGACAGCTCAAAGAGACAGCTCCATGTGCATTAAGCACAGAAGGACGGAAGTACCGAAGACAGCCCTGGCGCTCTGAGCCATTCCTAGGAGAGGCTGGTAAAATCGAAAGAGAGCTCAAACACGCAGACATATCTTCCTGTCTCAGAAGTGAAATGCTCCCAAATATCTTCAGTGTTTCTGAATTTCAAATCATGACAGTATCAAACCCTGTCACTGATAATATATCCTTTTTCCTCTGCCCAAACCAGAAAGTCAAAGATGTGAGGACTTCATAAAGAACCTTGTTAAGCTTCAACTTCCTGTCTAAACCCAAAAAGATGTTCCAGGTGCCTTGTTCTCTCAGAAAACTCCACATTGAGTGAGCGATGGGAGGTGTTGGTCAGTATCTCGACCAATACCTCAACCTTCACCTCGTACAGAGTCAGCTAATTCTTTCCCAGACGGGAAGACATTTTAAAAGTTCCTCTCTACTTGGTCTTTTAGAAGGCAAATGGACTTTCTGGTCTCTTTGGTCTCAGCTGCAGCAGCGAGGTGAAGAAGGGAAGGTCACCGTTTGGACAGCGTGGAACTAAGACACACACATAATGCCACTGTAGTGGTTGTAAGGTCTGCCACCTTCAGAAGTTGACCTGTGGCAAACGTGGCTACCCTGCCAAGTGCAAGAGTGAGTATAAACGAAGAGCCAAGATTAAAAGACGAAATACCACTGGGACTGGTGGAGTGACGCACCTAAAAACTGTCTACTGCAGATTCTGGCATGGATTCCGTGAAGGAACAACACCCAGACCCAAGGGGGTAGGTGTTGCAGCATCTAGTTCATCTTAAGGATTTTTAAGATTAATTAGGCAATAAATTGTTCAGGTTAAAAAATAAAAAAACAAATAAAACAAAGAAAAGAAGGTAAGTGCAAGTTTAGATCAAGTTATTTCACTGCCAAAATACCAGAATGAAAGTATTTCGCTAATTTTTATGTGGCAGTCACCAATCCCAACAAAACACCAAAAAGACAAATAAAACAACATGAAAATCAATATGCCCCAACAACAGGGGGGAAAGCGCGCCCAGTCATGGTAAGAGTGTCACTGCACACCGCCCGGCTTCAGGTCAACATACCTTAAGGACAATCTTGTTGTCTGAAGTTGGCGTCCTCCCTACCCACAGTGCAAATTTGCAAGGATCTCCTTCCACGTGCTCTGTGACACCCAGTTCTGAGGTCTGGATAGAGAGACAAGTAATTAGGTGACAAAGGTAGAAGAGACTCACACTCATGCTGGGTGACAAGAGCGTGGTGCTTTTGGGTCATTAAGTAACCTCTCTGGGAGATCTAACACAGGTCAATGAGCAAATGTCCAGAGGAAGAAACAAAAAGATCTGAAATTCCTACTATTTGGGAAATCAAGAGTGAACAATTTTCAATCTTGTAAACAATGTAACGAGTCTATTTTAGTTCCAAAGGAGGCCCTATGGTGAGTTTTTAACATTAACGAAGCAGCCCAGAAGGCAAACACGTGAACGTCTATTAACGGCATTACATCTTAGTACTCCCCCCATAATTTTAAGGCTGAGGGACAAAACTCCTCTCTGTAGGCGATGCAGAATTTGCAAGAGTGCAGGTGAGGCGGACATCCTCAGCCCCTCCCCCGCAATCAGGTTCACCCCTAATGCATTCCTCCTGGCAGCAAAGGAAGTGATTCATAACCCAGAGCTCCAGAGGTGGCCTCGGAGGGAATCTTAACTTTTAACAGATAAATTAAGTGAAGATGTATCATCTTCTAAAACAGACCAGCCTGGTCCCCGTGGGCAGATTAAAGCCAGCTAGTGAAATTACTAGCCAGCGATGCTGCATTTTCTTCCTTCAGTCAGAATGTGACCTAAAATGATGTAAGGCGAGCTGTGATCCAAAAGACAATCTCAGACGGGAGGCAAGCCAAAGACCGGGGAAACAACTAGTTTGAACTTGCAAATTCCAGACTGTCATTAAGATGGTTTCTATACTTCAGGGTATTTTGTTACTTTGGGAGTTTCGCTCAATATGTGGATAACTTAGAATGCCTAATGTATAAGTTGTCCAAATTCCAAACATTTCTCAGTGTTTATAAGAGACCTGTCTTTTAAATAAAGCCGATTTGATGACATCTTGTAGTCTTTTTTGGATAGTGATTTCTCCTTAGTCTCACTTGCCCCCCTCTCTGCCTGACCCCGCCCAGCAATTCTGCACTGATGGGGCGCTGAGACAGCCACCACGGGAAGCTGGGTACCGTGTGCCTGGAAGACCACGCAGGACTGAGGCTGTAACGCGGCCGGTGGGGCTGGCTGGAGTAACGAAATGTCCCCAGGCATGTTTCCCTGGCCAGGAGGGACACTGACGGGCTAAGTAAGAAGTCGACGCAGCACTGGCACTGCCACACACTCACAGGCGGCTGTGTCTACGTGGGTGGGACTGTGGAGTTCCGAACTTCATTTTTGTTTACAGATATTTTAAATGACATTTTGCTGCTAAAAGAACCATAAATCTTTCTGTGCACTTATTTTTCATAAATTAATTTTAATAGGAAAAAAGCCAAATCTCATTATTATTATTTTTTAAAAGAGATTTTTGTTATTGGGCGCATGTGCTGGCCAGGCAGACAGAAAGACAGAGGGACAGGAAGCGAGTAATCGCCCACAGGGGGGATGGCCACGCTGCAATCCCTTATCTTCCATGCTCCTCTCGGGATTCTGGGCATGCATGCACATGTGCCTGATGTGAGTTTTAAGCCACCAGGTCCAGCAGCTGAACCGTGGTCAACGACGTGGGAATCCAGCAATGTAACCAATACACCATCTGCTGGTCTCATCGTTAAGAATCTACAGTGACGGGGCTGGCAGGTGGTGTGGTCGTTAAAGGTGCTGGACTCCTACATGGCCGACCATGGTTGGAGTCCTAGACCTGATGGCTTGCTTTCTCACCACCCCCACACCTTGCTCTGTCTCTCTCTGCTCAAATGGAAATAAAGCTAAATAAGATAGTTCTTAAAAAAAAAATCTACGATGGGCCATCTACAAAGGCTCCTTCAAAATATTCCAACAGGGGTGACTCCTAGCAAAGAGGTTAGTGCCATACAAGGGGAGCCGGATCCCACCCAGCGAACCCTGGTTTGAGTCCTGGCCCCAGCAGCTTGAAAAGACAAGTGGAGCCTGTGTGCACCTGTGCCCCAGACTCTCACAGGATGGAGAGATGGAGGAAAAGGACTGTGGTGTAATCATACTCCATCAGGAAGTTTTCTTTCTTTCCCTCTCTCTTGCAAGTACGTGCACCCCCTGGCAACTAAAGAAAATAAAAAGCTCTTACTATTTAAAAACTAAACAAAACAAAACCACTCCCAAGATATTCTAATGATTATGGATTAAAAAAAAAAGTCAGAATTCATGAATAAAATGTTTTCTTATCCTGTAGTTAGATGTTACGGGATTTAGACAGAACCAATGTCTTGTTTGTGAAACTCCAGAGCACCCTCTAGTGGGCTCAGGAGTGGCAGAGAGTCACCAATGAAGATGAAAATACCACAGTTCAGACTTTCTCACTTTCCTGGGTGGCTTGGGAGGGTGAGTGGAGGACAGCGAATAATTTTCCTCTACCTACAAAAAGCAAGTGATGGTGGTACCACTGGCTTTCAGGCTCTGAACAGCTATACTTACAAATAATTTGCTTTTGTAAAGGTACTTGCTTCTCCCACTGGAATCTTTCACTTCTTTACTAAACACTAAGGACATTTCAAAAAGGAAGAGATGCCGTTCTCGACCCTTTCGGATTAAGGTTTTTGGGTCCCACACTTGGAAGGATTCCTGCAGGATGAGTTCTCCCTGAGACTCAATGTTTTCATCGAACCCTACAACAGGAAAAAATAAAGGCACAATCAATTTAAAAGAAAAACAGAAACTGATGCACAAGAAAACATGACTACTTCCTCTATCAGGCCTTAGATGAGTTTCTCATCTGAGCACCTGACTCAGGACTCCCACGACTGGTCTGTCCTACTAATATAATTCTCCCTAAAATAGCATTTTGAAGTATTTTCTCTTGTTCAAAAAAAAGTTCAGTGTTCCTCCAGGCTTTATTCCTGAGTCCTAGCCCCTTCGATGGGCACTCACACTTCTTGAGATCTGGCATAACCCCCGCCTCTCTGCAGGCCTCACTCATGGCATTCCACCACACGGGCCTCCTCCTCCAGCCAGGACTCACGACTCAGCCCTGAACCCCACACAGGCCAGCCTAGGTCTTCTCTCTCTCTGCTTCCTCAGCCCCGTTCTGGTCGGCTCCTCAGAATCGTCCCGCCTGCCCTAACACTTGGCATGTGAAGGGGCACACATGGCCTCTGTGGGCCCTCCCTGCTGCTCCTGACCTGGACCTATGCAGCCGGAGCTCAGCACAGCAATGCCTGGGGCAGCGGCTGCTCATTCCCTCTCAACTCTCCCTCACTCCTTCTCTACAGCAGAAGCTCTTGCCAAGGTCATAAACATGCCTCCCTGGCCTCTTCATTAAGAGCAGTGAAGGGGAGCCTTCTAGCTGAGGGGCCTGCCTCTCTTCCTTCCCCACATCCTGCTGGATGGAACGTCACTGTGTCCTGAAACATCCTGGATTGAGCCAACAAGGACACTATCTAGGATGGAGAGAACCTGGCAGGAAGAGAGTCTCCGGTGAGGTCAAGAAGAGCTGCAGACCTGCCATACCAGCTCAGCATATGACATCAGAGGAGACTCAGTCTGGCTTGGCTTCTGGGTTCGGGTCTCTATCACACAAAAAGCACCTCATTGTTCCCGCTGAATGAGTTACAAGGCTAATTTCTTGTAACTAATTCTGTGTAACTTGGTAAGAGAAAATCTTGCAATATAGAAACAGTTTTCTTAAACAGACACAACCATGGGAACTGTACACTGCTGTAATGACTTTCAAACGTATTTGTCTAATTTTCTCTTCACCATGCGGCACAGCAAATGTCACTGCATCAGCAGGTAACTAGTTCCTAACGCGGCCAAGGCTCTAGAAAGTGATGCAAAGGGTGTGACGACGGGGGAGCAATGAGTTCTTCCACGTAGTTCATAGTTTGGGGCTCCGTCTACCCATCAACCACCCTTCTGTCTAACATGAAGTGCCGTTGCAGTTCAGAGCACGGTCCACACCAGGGACAAGAAGAGGCTCTCAACAAAACAGAAGCATTTTATGTGGCCCTTAAGAAAAGCAATGATGTCAAATCCTGAAAAAAAGAAATGTCGGTCACATCTAAACTCTTACCCACTAACTGAATGGAAAGGCATGAAGCCGAGACTTTCAGGGTTTGGAAACCCGCTTGCAAGCTGCACCTATACTCCGTGGAAACTGGCCGTGCCCGTGAGGGGAGGCGTTACCTTCCAGCATGCTGAGGTGCATGGCGTCGTTGGCTCGCTTGGGCACGCTGAGCATCACCTCCAGGCCGTCTTTAATCTCGCCCTTCCCTTCCTCGCAGCACGTGAGCAGTTCCTGCAGAAGAGCGGCAGGGAGTGGCTGCAGCCTGCGGGGACTCTGCCCACAAGGTCTGCGTGGCCACGAAGGGTCTACCAATACCCAGTTTCCAAGATCAAAGGCCTATGTCCTCACAGGAAATAAAAAACTGGGGCTAACGCTGTGGCCGAGCGGTAAAGGGAGCAGGATCCCTCATGGCTGACTCTGCAGTATGAATCTCAGCCCCGGAGACCTGAGAAACTTGCCAGGTGTGAGAGCCTGCCCAAAGGTCTGACGGGATGCAGGACTGGAGGAGAGGGGATTGCAGTGTGACCATGGCCCACTGAGGGGAGTTGCATCCCTCACCCTCTTCCTGTCTCTGGTGAGTGCTCATGCCCTCTGGCAACATTTTTTTAAAGGTCAAGAAAATAAATTATTAGGTCGTTGGGAAAGTCATGACATATTTTTCTATGCAAAAACACATCATGACCTTCCCGAAGGCCCAATATTTCCTCTTTATTCTATCTGCCCTGTTTGAATCAGGACATCAAAGTAAACCAGGTGTAGTCAAAGATTAAGATGCTATTAGTACGGTCTGCTAACTATCAAGCCCCAGAGATGATCAACAGCAGTATTTAATTAGTTTATCAGCACGTAATCAGCAACTGGTGAGAGCTGACGGTCCACCTGTTATGCTTGCCACACTGTCCCAGGGGGATTCCACACTGAGGTCATCACTGCCACCTTACCTCTAAACTGGGGCAGCAGAACCACACAGCGGCCCAGTCACGCTGCACGAGCACCTACAGCCAAGTGCACTTCCCGTGTGCCTGGCGTGTTCGGAAAAGCTCTACAGGTGGAAACACCCCTCGCTAGGGAGCCTGACGTGTGTAATTACATTTCAGAATGGTTTAGAAGAATGTCCGCTATGAAATGAATGCTGGTGGGAACAGTGTGTTCCCATTCTGGGGCACTCCAGTGTATTAATGATTATTGATCAGTAACAATAATGGCAGGGCTTTGTGGCCTGGTGCTCAGAAGAGGGACAGAGCACTGCATTTACTCTGGTCTCATCCGGAGGGTGTAGAGTAACTCGGTTACCTGACAAGTACCTCCTTCATGACTGTATGGTGTTTACCTATGGGTCTGAGCTGTGGGCAAATACTGCTTTTAAAATGCAGTGTACTAAGACTAACTCGGACCGGCAGAAATACCTCCTTACTGGGGAGCTCTGCATAGCTTACGTTCTTCTGAAGAACTACAGAGCAGAATAAAGTAAGACTTATAAATTAGACCTTTTTTTTTTTTTTTTTTTGAAGGTTTTTGCCATAGGGTGTGTGTGCTCATCAGAGACAGAGACGGGGAGAGTGAGAAGTCACCCTCCAGGGGATGGCCGCCCTGCAGTCCCTTCTCCTCCAGGTACCTCCTGGGATTGTGGACATCCACACATGGGCTCGGTGTGCTTTTCAAGCTGCAAGGCCCAGGACTGGTACTGTGGTTGGCCATGTGGGAGTCCAGTACCTTAACCTCCACACCACCTAGCCCTCAACCACGTATTAAAAATAAAATCCTCAAATCTCAAAGACACCAAAAAGCAAGTTGCCTCTAAGAATTAGAAAGCAAAAGGCAAATCTGAATATGAACGAACTAGCCTTCTGCCTTATTTCATTTTCACAGCAATGGCATATTTCTGCAGCGATGGTCATACGATTACTTAATGGGATTTTGATAGAAAAGAATTAGAAAGCCATCCCAGTCAGTAGTCCCATAATCGCTTTCATAAAAGAATGTAGTCACTCATTACTGTTTCCAGATATTTCCTAGTAAGGAAAAAGGGGATGGGTTTGGGCATTCCTAACTCCATCTTCTGAATTTCTCTGACATCTCGACGAATTACATCATGACCTACTAGGGTGCCCAGAACAGTGCCTGAACACAGGAGGATTTGTAAGACACTGCAACTGGGACGGACAGAGGTTTCCACATTCCGCCTTCTACTTTGTAAAATTCACCAGCTCAGGAAACGCTGTGGTAAACAGCAGGAGTCGCCATTTATTTCTAATTAGTCAAGAAAAACGTGCATCGACAATGTAAAATGCATTTTGTGACAACCCTTCTGGAATATTCTTACGATCAAGACCAACGGTTACCAGGGTTTTGTGAGGGAGGTGTAAATTATCACTCACGAACAAGAACAGGCAGAAAGGTCTGACTCACATACGTGTGATGTGTGTGAACGACATGCTCCCAAAGGAGGTGTGATAAATGTCTGGCAATCGCAGAGGGGGGGCTGCCTGAGGGGAGGGTCTTTGTGGACTCGATGGAAAACTTGGGCACGAGCCGGATCGGGGTTCAAAGCCGAGCCCAGATAACAGGCACCAGCAGTGATCCTGGCCCGTCCCACACCTGTGCTCCAGCTCTGCCGTGAGGTGCACACGTACAAAGCACAGGCTACAGGCTGCCTGCAGTCGCCGAGCCTTCGCTCGGAACTCAGGGCACTAACACGGCGGGAGGTGAACACCCTCTCAGTTGTATCTCATCTGAGGTTCGAGCTTGGGGCCAGTCAGTGCGGTTTCGGTGCACAGCCAAGGGACAGACTCTGACTTAGCTGCCGCAAGGAGAAGTTGTAATGGCAATGTATAGAAGGATAAAATGAATCTGCTAGGTGTGATTTCAAACCATTTAGGGTCATATACACACATAAGAAGAAAACGGCAAGACGGTGATGCCTAACTCATGAGGTCTTGGGGGCTGAAGATGCCGCGTACGTACTTTTAGAAGGAGCTGATACTTCGTTATTCGCTGAACCGGTTTAATCAGGTAGGAAGAGATGGAATTGGCCAATCCGTGTCGCTGCTGTATCTCCTGTGTTTATAGAAAAGCAACCAACAACCTTGTCACAGGGTTACCACGATGAAGAAATGGTAATGAGATCACGTTAGTTTTTTCAAATACCTGAACAAAGTACTTAAACTTCCTGAAATAACACAAGTGAAGTTCTCTTTTCCAAAAAGGGTGTTAGGTTATTAACAAAGACTTCTCTGCTTCCATAATTTTTCTGGGTCTAGGAGTGGGGTAGAGACCTGGGCCTGAGAGGAGACACACCTTACTGGTCAGCGGCACAGCGAACGGAGGATGTCCCCTCTGCCTTTCTTAATGGCACCGCTGACTCGCAATCACCTGCCAGCAGCTACACTCCTGGCCACCATGCAGGAGGTGCCCTGCCTGTCACCATCCCACACCCAGCACCGCAACAGAGCTCATAGTTAAACGAACACTTGACACGTGTCAAGGTTGCAGAGAGAATTAGGACTGAAGGTGAGCCGCGGTCTTGGAGAGAGGAGGTGAGAGCACAAAGCCCTTGGAGAAAACAGCCGTATGGCGAATACGAAGGCAGATAATTTACACAATATAGTTTATATAACGTCGCTGGCAGCCTGGCTTCCTGCATTCTCCAAGATACGAGTTAGAGCACAAGGGTTTTTAAAATCGCTTTGATTTCAAACGTCAAATGTGCCAGCTCTTCCCACAGCGCAGGTCTGAACTATTCTAACTGCACATGGGCCAGTGTTGGGTTTCATCTCCCAGCGCAGACTGAGGGTCAGTGGTACATCGAGAAGAGGAGGCAAGACCGGCTGGGAGCGGCTTCCTACGAACAAAGGCACTACGTACGGCGCCTGGACCCGAGCGTGACGACTGCTGGGGCGTCGGCAAAGTCAGGACGCAATTCTGCATAGTACATATCATGACTTTCCCGATGACCTAATAAAATAGGGCCACCGACAGGTAGGGTTTTACTTCAAAGACGGAAATTAAAGTTTATCCCCATATCCCGGTCTTTCAAGTGAGAGCTGAATATCGTACAAAAATTGTCCAAGGAAAAGTGGAAAGGCAAAAAACAAGTCCAATATCCTGACGGCCCTTTGCACTGAAATATACGCTACTATTCAGAATACCTCTCCCTTTAATCAAAGTGTATTTGGCACATGTCTGACTACATGACATTGTAAGGCTCCACCCTTTTGTATTAAATAACCTCCCTGTAACAGTTTTCAAAAAACAGGTGGCCTACACCTGTGTGTCCTCAACGAGAACACAGTTAGTGAGACTTCTGACTGACTGTAGTTTCATAGCGCTAATTTGGAAAATGTTACTTTTGAACATTCTTGACACTGTGAAATTAAGATTAAAAAAGATGAAAAGGATTCAAATTTATTTTTGCTTTATAGAGAAAAGTTGACTAGCTTATACTTTCATACACAATCTTACATGTACAAACATTAATGATTATATATAAAGAATGATATACATACACACAAACACATATGTATACAGTAAAATTCGCATTTCTTAGTTCTAAGGCTTCCAGAACTTGAGTAGGCTCTTTAAAAACAGAAGAAAGAAAATAGAAGACTCTCCCCGCATAACTACGATGGATAAAAAAACAAACGTCAAGTATTACACCATTACTCAGGTGAGTTATGAGAAGTGCTGCATTTTATATTATACTAAATGTAATTTAGGACATTTCAAAGCTTATTAAGAAGCTTTTAGTTAATTACTTACATCAAAGTAGGACCCTGCATGTTCTAGTATCAGCTGAGTAGAATCAGGCTTATTTTTGCAATATGTGACATACATCTGGAACTTGTCTGCCTATAAGCAAAAAAAAAAAAAAAAAAAAAAAGGAACATCTCATTCAAATTTCAACATGTCAAAGAATGATAAACTTTTATATAACAAGCTGTGTGGATTAAAAACAAATTGTTTATTTTATCTCTCTCATGAAAGAGAGAAGAAAAGAGATAGTCAGGAGTCCCCAAAGGGTCTTTATGCCACGATCCATCCCCAGCCCAGCCAGCCTGAGACATGGGCATGTGGGAACCAGGACCTTCTGCCCACATGGCCTGGCGTTACTCACAGGGCACCATGTTGCTGCAGCCAGTCTGGGTAAGAGAAATGTAGGTCTCGGCTAAAAGAAACTCAACTTGATGCCCACTGCTAAGACACTCTACTCCATAGGTAGAGACCAAAGGGGAGCCTGGTTCCATTCCTGCCCCAACCCAAAGGCCGGTGCAGTGGCGCAGCTGTGGTCCCGACTCAGGGGGGCCGAGGCAGGAGTGCTGCGAGCTTGAGCTGACCTGGGCAACACAGCAATATGCTGTCTAAAATGAGCCCGGTGTGATGGCGCAGTCTAAATTCCAGGTGGGAGGCCGAGCCATGAGGGCTGTGACAGTAAGACTTTATCTTCAAAGCAAGTGAGCAAAAATACCCACTAAAAAAAAAAATTTAAAAACGAAAGCCATCGAAATAAGAACTGCCCTGCTGAAGGCTCCCCTTGGTCAGTCAGGGCTAGTGCTTGTCCTGTCTTCCCACCCTGTCTACCACAGGCTGTCCACAGAACTGTCATCACATCCCTTGTCCACCTCCCCTCTGGACTGGGCAATGCCCAGGCAGCATGGGGCACTCATTCACTGGTAATCCGCAGGGACAGGCAGAGCCCTGACACATGGAAGGTTCTATTTCCAACCATCCCTGCTGCTAGTGAAAACCTCATCCCATGGCAACAACTCGTGGGAGAACCTAGTCCTTTGCGGTCAAGTCAATTTCTCTGCAAACGTGGCAGAGGATGGTGACTTAAAGGAAGGAGAGACATCCCTTCTAGTTTCCTTCAAGGCCACCAAATAATTGTGACAGAGTAAGTAGCTGAGGGTTCATTACCCAAGTGACGAAGCAATGTCCGACATCCTCCGGCAACTGTTCGTATTTTTCCAGCTCCTTCAGGAATATGCTGCAGAGAATAAAAGCATCATCGTGTTATGAAGGTGTTTCAAAACATTTTCCTAGTAAGACGTGCCAGAAATGAGAAAATCTGTGCCCTCTCGAGTTTAATAATGAACAAAACACGTAGCTCGTAACTAGGATAAGTTCCTCTAACCCAAACCAAGGTTAGAGTACGACTACACAGTTCAGACTGCAAACATTTTCTAACGCACACCTTAAGCTACCAGCTTCCGGGAAATGCTGGCGTGTGAAACTGAAGACGTCTGGTGACATAAGTGTTTTATGGAAAGAACCTACTGAACACCCTTGTGCCTTTGTGGGATGGGGAGCGGGGAAGTGCAGGACCCCCAGGCTCTAGCCCCAGTGTATCTTGCTGCAGGTTGGGGGGCTACACAGACTCTACTTAAAAACAAAGCTATTGCTTTATTTTTTTTTTTTTACGATCTGGACAATAAAACCAGACGCCTCTTGTGGCCAGTGGAAAGTGCACTTGCTTTTGGTCAGACACGATCTGATCCTTCCTCAGTCCTCACCCCGCACCATGAGAGAAGACCAAACTGCACTGGAGAAGGTACTGACGGCTCAGCTGGAGAAGGTGGGGCTCCTCTAGACCTGTCAGTCTTCCCTACTCTAGTTTCTGTAGAAAATGAATATAACAGAAAGTTCAGTCTGTTTGAAGTCTCTCTTGCATGTCAGTCTTTTTGGAGAAAGACCGAGAGGCTTCCTTCAAATTTCCGCAAGATCTGTTTGGTTCAGCTGGAAACGGTCCCTCTGCTTATGCAACCTCAGCACCGGGCCAGACCTCTGAGTCACCACGCCCAGAGACACAGCCACTCACTTGTTGTGGAACTCGTAGATCTCCTGCATGTTGCCGAAGATGATGAGCTCTTTGTTCACGATGCCCGGGGGGATCTCCTCCACACCGCTGGTCATCTCCCACAGGTAGGTCTGGCCAGGAGGGAGACAAGGCTGAGATGAAATCCACACCAAATTTCCGAGAAGCAACTACCCCCGCCATCTGGGAATACGCCCTCCGAGTCCGTGGGAGTGAAAGGAGGTCTGAAGGATAGAACCTTGCACAGAACCCAACTCTGATGCTTCCAAAGGAGCCCTGAGGCTGCTACAACCTGGAAAAGCGGCCCTGTCCTTCTCAGCTCTCACATCTCCCATGCTCCTCCCAGCCTCGCATTTCGGAATCAGCCGGCGCCCCCAGGACACCGAACACCCTGTGCGGGAGCTGGTTCCCGATTGGAATTAGTAGGCACATTTCTCTGAAGCTGCTGTAAAATTCTATACAAAGGGCACGCCGGCCCAGCCGTCATGTGATAAGCAGAATGAGAGGATTAAAGCTGCGAGAACAAGCCTCGAACTGCACAGAAGTGCACGCCCGGGCGCTGGCTGCTTGGACACACTCTGGATTTAAAAAACCGCCACCCCCACACTGACGACTCTAAGAGCCAGCGATAGGTGACCACAAAGAGCAAGGAGGCACTCCATCTGGACAGGCAGGCAGAGCGACTTGCTTACATCCATACACTCCCGGAGGTCTCGCACGTAAGCCTTTTCCGTCTGAATCAGCTCAGCCATGATGAACCTGGACAGTGAGACAGCAGGGTTAGTGCCGGCGGGACGGAGCCTGCTCCACCGTCTACTTTAGGGATTCCTGAAACAAGGAAGCTCCGAAAGCCCTGTCCTGCAGTAAGTCCAGGACAGACAGACTGCGCACGAGGAGGCAGCCACTAACTCAAAGGGAAAAAGGAGAAGCCACGTAACCTAGTTTACTGAGGTCCTTCTAACTCGGATGCTCGGGTGCACGATACTAGGGGCCAGGTAACAGTGGGGCTGGGAGCTGTCCTGTATGCTTACGGTGGCCCTGGTCTCCACCACTCGACACCAGCAGCCCTCCCCTCCCCCCACTGCATGACAACCAAAATGTACCCTTCTCACCGCCAAATGTTCTGGAGGACTAAGTAAGCCCCACTGAGACCCACTGGCTTAGAGCGAACTTCTATTTCTACAGGGTACAGGCTACCTGCAACTTCTAGACACCACTGTGTGCTCTTAATTTCCTCTCACTAGCATCGCTACCTGGTAATGCTGACCCAGCTGCCAACCTCGTAAGAGACTGAGACGCAGGGATAAAAATGAAGACACTGGGCCTGACCAGGCGAGGCAGGGGCAGGGGCACTGGGAAGCCTGTGCTACCACGCCCGGCCCACAGAGTCCTGGTGCCAGCTGAGCCCTGCTCCGGGGAAGCCTGTCAGTCCAAATGCTGCTTTTCTCACTGTCTTTCTCAAGGAAACCCCGGCTTACTCTTTCCTGCGGGCAGACTTCCGCTTCTCTTCGTTAAGTTCGTGAGCGGCATCCCGGAGTTTCACCTCTGACCCAGGAATGCTGGCAGGAATGATATCGAGCTGAAGGCTTTTGCTCTGTGAACGAGAGAGATGGTCGATGAGCAAAGTTAATTAAATCAGCAACGCGGGAATGGGAGGAAGGCTCGACTTATCCAGTCTGCACCAGGTCATTTACCGATTTATTGGAATCTGAAGATATCCCCAAAGCTTTCTCCAAAGAGGTCCTGTACTTCTCCATCCGCAGAGAGAAATCTCTGTACCTCTTGTCCACTGCAGTAACACATTTTTTTATCTCGGCTGCATGGGCATGCCCTTTTTCACAAAAGCCATCGGCCAGCTGTATCAATAGCTTCACTCTCTCTTTGGTTTGCTGCAAAAAAAAAAAAAAAAAAAAAAA